ACGCCGACTTGTCGTCTCGCCCCTTGCCGCCAGCAGAGGAGTTGGCATCCTTCGCCGAGGTCGACTTGGTCGACTGCTTCTCCTTGCGTGGCTGGTTTCCTCCTCGACGAGGACGACGACTGCCAGACCTCCCGCGGCATCCCTTGGCATCGTCGTCGTCGAAGCCACTGCGGTCGGGGCACTCGAAGGAGAGGTGGTCAGGGTCGCCGCACAGCCAGCACTCGCGACGTCGACCTCCTCTTCCTCAACCGCTGTCCTTGGTCGACTTCTTCTTGTCGACCTCCTGGCCGGTTTCCCGCCACTACTACCACCGCCACCAGACTGCCCGCGCTGCCCCGGTCGACCACCTTGCTTCGCCGGGGCGTCATAGTTCACCTGCGCCAGGAGCTCCTGGGACCGCTCGGCCTCCTGCATCGCCTCGTCCTGCAGGATGTACGAGGTCAACGTGTCCTTGTTGAGTGTCCCCCACGTGCTCGGCGCCATCGACAACCGCTTCAGCAGGTTGTAGCTGCTCGGGAGTCCCTGCATGACGTGGGTGACGTACGACGCCGTCGAGTACTCCGCACCGGCCATCCTGATGGTGGCGAGAATTCGCCGAGCTCGGTTGCAGTAGTCGGTCGCCGTCTCCTCGTCGCCCATGCGCAGGTGAGTCAGCTGCCCTTCCAACTGGGCAATGAACAAGTCGTCGGTGACTTGGTAAGTCGACTCGATGAAGTGCCACGCCCGGTGGCCGGCGTCGAGGTGCTCCCTGCACGACTTCAGGGCGATTTGCACGTCTGGCGAACAGCACCGCGATATGACCGTGAAGGTCAGCAGCTGCACGGCGCGAAACTCTGCACGCAAGTCGGGGTCCTCCGGCGTCGCCATGGTAGCGCGAGCAAAGCTGATCAGCCCGGCCATTTCCAGCTGGGGCTCGATGGCTTCCATCCAGGTGAGAATGTTGGGTCGTCCGACCAGTAGGGGAGTGACCAAGATCCTGTCCGGCGTAAACTTGAAGTAGCCGTAGCTTGGTGCAATCCCGCCTGCTGTCACCTGGGTCGCCGACATCGGCAAAGATCCACTTCGTCGACCTCCGACGTCACCCTGCGAGGAGCCTGCAGCCCCCGACGACCGCAACCCCTGTGCCTGAACGCCGCCGACTTCATCGGCTGAATCGCAACGTTCACGCTGCCTCGACGACGTGCCTCCCCCACCGCTGCCGACTTGGTACTAAGAGTGAGTGTGTTACTTAGCCGTATGAGTGGTACCAAGAGTAAGTGCATTACTTAGCAATATGAGTGGTACTAAGAGTAAGTGTGTTACTTTATAATTAGAGTGGTACTAAGAATAAGTTCTTTACTTAGCCGTATCAGTGGTACCTAGAGTAAGTCCATTACTTACCGTATGAGTGGTATCAACCCTAAGTGAGTGCGTTACTTAGCCGTATGAGTGGTACCAAGAGTAAGTGTGTTACATAGGAATATGAGTGGTATTAAGAGTAATTGCGTTATTTAGCTGTATGAGTGGTACTAAGAGTGAGTACGTTACTTGGCCGTATGAATGGTACTAAGAATAAGTGCGTTACTTAGCGATATGAATGGTACTTAGAGTAATTGAGCTACTTATCAATAAGAGCATGAGCGATAAGAGCATGTGCGTTACTTAGCAATAAGAGTGGTAGTAACAGCAAGTGCGTTATTTATCAATATGAGTGGTACTAAGAGTAAGTGTGTTTCTTAGCGAGATGAGTGATACTAAGAGTGACTGCGTTATTTACCGTATGAGTGGTACCAAGAGTAAGTGTGTTACTTAACGATATGAGTTGTACTAAGACTGTATGTTTTTTAGCCATATGAGTGGTACCAAGAATAAGTACGTTACTTAGCGATAGGAGTGGTACTAAGAGTGAGTGCGTTACTTAGCCGTATGAGTGGTACCAATAATAAATGCATTACATAGCAATATGAGTGGTACTAAGAGTAAGTGTGTTACTTAACGATATGAGTGGTACTAAGAGTAAGTGCGTTACTTAGCCATATCAGCAGTTGGTACCAAGAGTGAGTGCGTTACTTATCGATATGAGTGGTACTAAGAGTCTGTGCATTACTTAGGCGTATGAGTGGTACCAATAGTACGTGCGTTAGTACCAATATGAGTGGTACTAAGAGTAAGTGCGTTAGTTAGCCGTTTGGGTGGTACTAAGAGTAAGTGCGTTACTTAGCCGTATGAGTGGTACCAAGAGTATGTGCATTGTCTAGTGATACGAGTGGTGCTAAGAGTAAGTGCGTTACTTAGCCATATGAGAGGTACCAAGAGAGTAAGAGTGTTACTTATCAGTTTTAGTGGTACTAAGAGTAAGTGCGTTTCTCAGCGATCTGAGTGACACTAAGACTAAGTGTGTTACTTACAGAATGAGTGGTTCCAAGAGTAAGTGCATTACTTCGTGAGCGATATAAATGGTACTAAGAGTAAATACTATACTTACCGTATGAATTGTATCAAGAGTAAGTGCGTTACTTAGCGATATATATGGTACTAAGAATAACTGTGCAACTTATCAATACGTATGGTACTAAGAGCAAGTGCGTTACTTAGCGATAAGAGTTGTATAAAGAGCAAGTGCGTTACTTACCGTATGAGTGGTACCAAGAGTAAGTGTTACTTAACGATATGAGTTGTACTAAGAGTAAGTACGCTACTTAACCGTATGAGTGGTACCAAGAGTAAGTGCGTTACTTAGCGATATGAGTAGTACTAAGTGTTAGTTCGTTTCTTAGCCATACGAGTACTACCAAGAGCAAGTGCGTTACTTAGCGATATGAGTGGTACTAAAAGTAAGTGCGTTACTTAGCCGTATGAGTGGTACCAAGCGTAAGTACGTAGCGATATGAGTGGTACTAAGACTAAGTGTGTTACTTATCAACATCAGTAGTACTAAGAGTAAGTACGTTACTTATCCGTATCAGTGGTTCTAAGAGTGAGTGCGTTACTTAGCGATATGAGTGATACTAAGAGTAAGTGCGTTACTTAACGAATGAGTGGTACCAAAAGTAAGCGTGTTACTTGCGGAGAGTCACCCTACAACGGGAGTGGACTACGGAGAAGGGCACGAAGTTGTGTGGGTGATCGTGGCGCTCTAGTAACGTTCTAACAGAGATCTTACTACTTGCTCTGTTCACAGAGAGATTTGGCAAGAGTTTCCACTAAGGAAATTGAAAGTACATTGAGAAATTGAGAATTAGAGTACAAGAATGAGCATGCAAAGTGAGATCCCTGGAATGGCATTGCAATCCCTAGCAAGCATTCTGCAAGGCGAATTGCCAGCACTGCATCAGAGCGGTTCTCCAACGCTGAAACAGAGCTGTCTGCCAGCGTAGCATAAGGGCGACCGAATGAGTGTAAGTGCGTTACTTACCGTATGAGTGGTACCAAGAGTAAGTGCATTACTTAATGATATGAGTGGTATTAAGAATAAGTGCACTGCTTGATATGAGTGGTGCTAAGAGTAACTGCATGACTTAGCAATATGAGTGGTACTAAGAGTAAGCGTGTTACTTATCAGTATTAGTGGTACTAAGAGTAAGTGCCTTTCTTAGCGATATGAGAGGTACCAAGAGTAAGTTCGTTATTTCTTAGCCGTATGAATGGTACCAAGAGTAAATGTGTTACTTAGCGATATGAATGGTACAAAGAGTAATTGTGCTACTTCTCAATACAAGTGGTACTAAGAGCACGTGCTTTACTTAGCGATAAGAGTGGTACTAAGAGCAAGTGCGTTACTTACCGTATGAGTGGTACCAAGAGTAAGTGTGTTACTTAACGATATGAGTGGTACTAAGAGTAATTGCGTTACTTAGCCATATGAGTGGTACTAGGAGTAAGTGCGTTACTTAGCGATATGAGTGGTACTAAAAGTAAGTGCGTTACTTAGCCGTATGAGTGGTACCAAGAGTAAGTCCGTTTGTTAGCGATATGAGTGGTACTAAGAGTATGTGCATTACTTAGCGATATGAGTGGTACCAAGAATAAGTGCATTACGTAGCAATATGATTGGTACTAAGAGTAAGTGTGTTACTTATAAATATGAATGGTACTAAGAGTATGTGCGTTACTTACTGTATTAGCAAGTGCAAGTGTGTTACTTAACGATATGAGTGGTACTAAGAGTAAGTGCGTTACTTAACCCTATTAATGGTACCAAGAGTAAGTGCGTTATTTATCGATATGATTGGTACTAAAAGTCTGTGCGTTACTTAGCCGTATGAGTAGTACCAATAGTATGTGCGTTACTTAACGATATGAGTTGTACTAAGAGTAAGTGCGTTACTTAGCCATATGAGTGGTACCAAGAGTAAGTGCGTTACTTAGCCATATGAATGGTACTAAGAGTAAGTGCGTTACTTAGCTATATGAGTGGTTATAAGAGTATATGCGTTACTTACCATAGTACCAAGAGTAAGTGTGTTACTTAACGATATGAGTGTTACTAAGAGTGTGTGCGTCACATAGCCGTATGAGTGGTACCAAGAGAAAGTGCGTTACTTATCGATATGAGTGGTACTAAGAGTGTGTGCGTCACATAGCTGTATGAGTGGTACCAAGAGTAAGTGCGTTACTTAGCGATATGAGTGGTACTAAGAGAAAGTGCGTTACTTGACGATATGTGTTGTACTAGGAGTAAGTGCGTTACTTAGCCATATGAGTGGTACCAAGAGTAAGTGCGTTACTTATTGATGTAAGTTTTAGTAAGCATATGTGCGTTACTAGGGATGAGCATATATTCGTGTTCGCCTGGGGTCGAACATGGCTGAGCGGGGTTGGGACTGCAATACACTAGATGTAACAACTCTTAATGCTACTGCAACCATGTATTTGAGATTATGTTGTTCTAATTATTTGGTTTACTATTTTAGTGCCTACAATAAATAACTAATTGTAGCCATGCCTACACGTTGCAAAAAACATCAAACTCAACATCCAAACGTCACCACCGCATCGCGCAAGCGATCACTAACCCACAACTACACCCCTGTCCCACCCACGCTACCAACACCACCCTCCCCTCCACCAAAATCTGCGGCGTCCACCCCTCTCCCCTCCCCGGCCTCCTCGTCCACCTCGACTGCGTCCGCCTTCTCCACCTCATCCCCCTCATCCCCCTCCTTCTCCTCCTCCTCCTCCTCCTCCTCCTCCTCCTCCTCCTCCTCCTCCTCCTCCGCACCCTCGCCCTCAATAGCAATCTCCAGTGCGGCGACCCCCTTCGGGCGGCAGCCCTCGCCGATCCTCTGGCCAGGGTGCGATCCATACCAGGAGCGGAGAATCATGCAGGCACGCGACCTCTCGGAGTTGACGCGGTGACGCTTCCACGAAATGAGGTTGCGGCCCAATGAGAACACCCGCTCGCTCGCAGCAGACGTGGCAGGGATGGCGAGATAGTCCCTCGCCATCCGCTTCAGTGTCTCCATGTTCGTGGAAGTGCGCCAGTAGTATAGCGCAGCGACGTCATACCGCACCCGCTCCGACAAATACCTGCTGACCTCGTCATCCTACACAAGACCACCCCCCCCCGCCGCTTGGCTCGCAGACAGGCGCGCCGCAAGGCGTCGGCGACTAGGGAGGTACAGGTCGTCCTCGTCCTCCCCCCCCTGCTCTCCCTCCTCCTCCTCGACCACCGTGGGAAGTTTGGTGGGCCTAGGACCCAGCTCCCTCGCCGCTGCCTGGTACTCGGCCACCCGATCGCGCACCAGCGCGATCATCACGCTCGATGGAGGGCGCGGCCTCTCCCTCTGCGCCGTCTCTGGATGCTGCGTCTCCCAGTGGGGGTCGTCGAACCACGCCGCCTTCATGGAAGGATCCAGGAAGGTGGCGATCCATCCCTCGTTGCTGCTGATGTACTCATACTTCTTCAGGATTGTCAGCGCCTTCTCGACCATCGGCTTCAGCAGCGCAGAGGGCCCCTTTGCCAGTCGGGCCTCCATGACGTCGATGAGGCCGTTATAGTACGGCACCACCATCGACAGCGTCGGGTTTGCCGTCCCCTTGGCCGCCTTGGAGACCTTGTTGAAGCGGCTGAGGAACGTTCTCAGCTCCTTAAACATGTCCCACTGCTCGTCAGAAAGGCGCATTTCCTCGACCTTATCCTTGTCTGTCTTAGACAGGCCCTGCACAGGTGTAGGGGGTGGTGGGGCGGGACACAAGATGAGCATGGTTGGTATGAGTATGCCTCGATGTTCAGTAAATCAACTGGGCACCACACAACCCACATGCCATACACATGCTTGAAACATCCCACACATCGGCCTAACACATGCCACACACATGACGCACACATGACGCACACACGTCACACACACGCGTGCCCATGCAACACCCATGCCGCACCCATGCCACTCGCATGCCGCACATGTGCCACACATATGCCTAACACATGCCACCCACATGCCACACACATGCCAAACACGTGCCACATGCAGCGTTACTTAGCTGTACGAGAGGTACCAAGAGTAAGTGCGTTACTTAACAATATGAGTGGTACTAAGCGTAATCCCGTTACTTACCAATATGAGTGGTATTAAGGGTAAGTGCATTACTTACCGTATGAATGGTACCAAGAGCAAGTGCGTTACTTAGCGATATGTGTGGTACTAAGAGTGAGTGCATTAGCTAGTCGTGTAAGTGGTACCAAGAATTAGTGCGTTTATGAGTGGCAATTAGCGATATGATTGGTAATTAGCGATATGAGTGGTAATTAGCGAAATGAGTGGTACTAAGAGTAAGTGCGTTACTTACCGTATGAGTTGTATCAATGGTAAGTGCGTTACTTATCGATATGAGAGGCACAATGAGTCTGTGTGTTACTTAGCTATACGAGAGGTACCAAGAGTAAGTGCGTTACTTAACGATATGAGTGGTACTAAGAGTAAGTGCGTTAGTCAGCCATACGTGTGGTACAAATTGTAAGTGCATTACTTAGCCGTATGAGTGGTACCAAGAGTAAGTGCGTTACGTAGCAATATGAGTGGTACTAAGACTAAGTGTATTACTTATCAATATCAGTGGTACTAAGAGAAGGTACGTTACTTAGCCGTATCAGTGGTACTAAGAGTGTGATCCTTAGCGATATGAGTGATACTAAGAGTAAGTGTGTTTGTGGTACCAAGAGTAAGTGGTACTAAGAGTAAGTACGTTACTTAGCCGTATGAATGGTACCAAGAATGTTAGAATCGTAGGTGTGGGGCCTAGGCTTAGTAGCCTAGGCCCACACTAGGAGGTAGGTGGGTGTGCTCTAGAACTAGGAGTTAGGGTTTACGAAGGAGAATTGGAACGAAGAATGAATGGTGACTAGCAAGCAGCAGAACACACAAATAGCAAACCCTAAGGGGTTGTACTCACTATTGAGCACCCGACTGCAGGCTAGACAAATAACATTCTGACACACCCCCATAGCCAAAGTGGGGTGTAATCAGCAGAGCACACAAAGCAGTACAAGCTCAGGGTGGATCACGACGTCACCACACATTCTGAGCACAAGTTCAAGAACCAATAGTTTATAAATTGTAAGCAGAGCTAGAGGCAGTCACAGAGGGCAAGTGAGGAGGAGGAGGGCTGGCGAGATGAGAGAAGAGTGGAGGCGACGACTGAAGCTGCAGACACACGGGCAACAGACGGCTCTGGTGCAACGCTGGTGGCTACCGGGAGGAGAAAGGCCCCGGAATACAGGAGTAACAGGCTCGGCGGCTGAACAGCAGCGGCAGGAGCAACGGACCCACGGGCGACAGGTGCAACCGGCTCTCTGAGCTACCGGGATTGAGCGCCCCGGAGTACAGGCGCTGTAGACGACACGACGGCGGTCTCCGCTCAACCTCCCCCAACAGTCCCACACCCCTCGACACACACCCCTTGGTCCACCCTTAGCTCCACTCCCATATCACCCCCCCTAGCGCCAGTCCCCTCGGCTCCCACACATCCACCCCCCTCAGCGGCAGCTGCAGCAGTGGGAGACGAAGGAGGAGGAAGGGACGACGCACACGAAGCACCCCCATACCCGTCACCCCCACACTCTCGAACAAAGGCGGGCAAACTCCAGGGGCGGCTGCTGCAGTGGCGGGCTGCTCCAGGGGCGGTTGCTGCAGTGACTGGCTGCTCCAGGGGCTGCTGCTGCAGGCTCGGCAGCGGCAACTGCTGCAGGTAGAGCGGCGGCTGCTGCTGTAGGCTCTGGCGGCGGCTGCTGCTGCAGGCTCTGGCGGCGGCTGCTGCTGCAGGCTCGGTGGCGGCAGCTGCTGCTGCAGGCCTGGCGGCGGCTGCTGCTGCAGGGCGGCGGCGGCTGCTGCTGCAGAGCGGCGGCGGCTGCTGCTGCTGGTAGAGCGGCGGCTGCTGCTGCAGGCTCTGGTGGCAGCTGCTGCTGCAGGCTCTGGCGGCGGCTGCTGCTGCAGGCTCTGGCGGCGGCTGCTGCTGCAGGCCTGGCGGCGGCTGCTGCTGCAGGGCGGCGGCGGCTGCTGCTGCAGAGCGGCGGCGGCTGCTGCTGCTGGTAGAGCGGCGGCTGCTGCTGCAGGCTCTGACGGCGCCCCGCGGGTCCCGCAGGGGGCGTCGCGACGAGCAGGGGCGACGCCCCGCGGGTCCCGCACGGGCGTCGCGACGAGCAGGGGCGACGCCCCGCGGGTCCCGCACGGACGTCGCGACGAGCAGGGCGACGCTGCGCGGGTCCCGTACGGGCGTCGCGACGAGAAGGGGCAGCACCCAGGGGGCGCCGCGACGAGTAAGGGCGACGCCCCGCGGGTCCCGCACGGGCGTCGCGACGAGCAGCAGGGAGGGCAGCGCGCAGGCCCCCCCAAGGACGCTTCGACGGACGGGATAACCGCCGCGCGCCCCGAGCGCGCGGCGGGCAGAAGAAGCCGCCACGTGTTCGGAGCGCGTGGCGGGAAGAAAATGCAATGCCGCGCACCACGGGGCGCGCGGCGGATAGTACGACAGCGGAAGGAGTTGGTGGGCCCGATGAACTAGGCGGCAGGATCTCGCCGGCTCTAGATACCATGTTAGAATCGTAGGTGTGGGGCCTAGGCTTAGTAGCCTAGGCCCACACTAGGAGGTAGGTGGGTGTGCTCTAGAACTAGGAGTTAGGGTTTACGAAGGAGAATTGGAACGAAGAATGAATGGTGACTAGCAAGCAGCAGAACACACAAATAGCAAACCCTAAGGGGTTGTACTCACTATTGAGCACCCCACTGCAGGCTAGACAAATAACATTCTGACAAAGAATATGTGCGTTGCTAAGCGACGTGAACGGTACTAATAGTAATTGTGCCACTTATCAATACAAGTGGTACTAAGAGCAAGAGCGTTACTTCGCGATAAGAATGGTACTAAGAGCAAGTGCGTTACTTACCGTATGAGTGGTACCAAGAGTAAGTGTGTTACTTAACGATATGAGTTGTACTAAGAGTAAGTACGTTACTTACCCATATGAATGGTACCAAGAGTAAGTGCGTTACTTAGCGATATGAATGGTACTAAGAGTAAGTACTTTACTACTTAGCCGTATGAGTGGTACCAAGAGTAAGTACGTTACTTAGCGATATGAGTGGTACTAAGAGTGAGTGCGTTACTTAGCCGTATGAGTGGTACCAAGAATAGGTGTATTACTTAGCATTATCAGTGGTACTAAGAGTATGTGTGTTACTTTATGATTAGAGTGGTACTAAGAGTAAGTGCGTTACTTAGCCGTATGAGTGGTACCAAGAGTAAGTGCGTTACTTAGCCATATGAGTGGTATTAAGAGTAAGTGCGTTACTTAGCCGTATGAGTGGTACCAAGAGTAAGTGCGTTACATAAGGATATGAGTGGTACTAAGAGTAAGTGCGTTACTTAGCCATATGGGTGGTACTAAGAGTAAGTGCATTACTTAACGATATGAGTGGTACGAGGAGTGAGTACGTTACTTAGCCATATGAATGGTACTAAGAATAAGTGCGTTACTTAGCGATATGAATGGTACTTCGAGCAATTGTGCTACTTATCAATACGAGTGGTACTAAGAGCAAGTGCGTTACTTAGCGATATGAGTGGTACCAAGAGTAAGTGCGTTGCTTATCGATGGTAAGTACGTTACTTAGCCGTATGAATGGTACCAAGAGTAAGTACGTTACTTAGCGATATGAGTGCTACAAAGAGTAAGTACTTTACTTAGCCATATGAGTGGTACCAAGAGTAAGTGCGATACTTAGCGATATGAGTGGTACTAAGAGTGAGTGCGTTACTTAGACGTATGAGTGGTACCAAGAATGGGTGCATTACTTAGCGATATGAGTGGTGCTAAGAGTAAGTGTGTTACTTCATGATTAGAGTGGTACTAAGAGTGAGTGCGTTACTTAGCCGTATGAGTGGTACCAAGAGTAAGTGCATTACTTACCGTATGACTGGTATCAAGAGTAAGGGAGTCACTTAGCCGAATGAGTGATACCAAGAGTAAGTGCATTACATAACGATATTAGTGGTACTAAGAGTGAGTACGTTACTTAGCCGTATGAATGTTACCAAGATTAAGTGCGTTGCTAAGCGATATGAATGGTACTAATAGTAATTGTGCTACTTATCAATACGAGTGGTACTAAGAGCAAGAGCGTTACTTCGCGATAAGAGTGGTACTAAGAGCAAGTGCGTTACTTACCGTATGAGTGGTACCAAGAGTAAGTGTGTTACTTAACGATATGAGTTGTACTAAGAGTAAGTACGTTACTTAGCTGTATGAATGGTACCAAGAGTAAGTGCGTTACTTAGCGATATGAATGGTACTAAGAGTAAGTACTTTACTACTTAGCCGTATGAGTGGTACCAAGAGTAAGTACGTTACTTAGCGATATGAGTGGTACTAAGAGTGAGTGTGATATTTAGCCGTATGAGTGGTACCAAGAGTAAGTGCATTACTTAGCAATATGAGTGGTACTAAGAGTAAGTGTGTTACTTAATGATTAGAGTGGTACTAAGAATATGTGCGTTACTTAGCCGTATCCGTGGTGCCAAGAGTAAGTGCATTACTTACCGTATGAGTGGTATCAAGAGTAAGTAAGTCACTTAGCCGTATGAGTGGTACCAAGAGCAAGAGCGTTACATAAGAATATGAGTGGTACTAAGAGTAAGTGCGTTACTTAGCCATATGAGTGGTACCAAGAGTAAGTGCATTACTTAGCGATATGAGTGGTACTAAGAGTGAGTACGTTACTTAGCCGTATGAATGGTACCAGGAATTAAAGCGTTACTTAGCGATATGAATGGTACTTCGAGCAATTGTGCTACTTATCAATACGAGTGGTACTAAGAGCAAGTGCGTTACTTAGCGATAAGAGTGGTACCACGAGTAAGTGTGTCACTTATCAATATAAGTGGCACTAAGACTAAGTGCGTTTCTTAGCAATGTAAGTGATACTAAGTGTGAGTGCGTTACTTACCATATGAGAGGTACCAAGAGTAAGTGCGTTACTTAACGATATGAGTGGTACTAAGAGTAATTGCGTTACTTAGCCATATGAGTGGTACTAGGAGTAAGTGCGTTACTTAGCGATATGAGTGGTACTAAAAGTAAGTGCGTTACTTAGCCGTATGAGTGGTACCAAGAGTAAGTCCGTTTGTTAGCGATATGAGTGGTACTAAGAGTATGTGCATTACTTAGCGATATGAGTGGTACCAAGAATAAGTGCATTACGTAGCAATATGATTGGTACTAAGAGTAAGTGTGTTACTTTTCAACATGAATGGTACTAAGAGTATGTGCGTTACTTACTGTATTAGCAAGTACAAGTGTGTTACTTAACGATATGAGTGGTACTAAGAGTAAGTGCGTTACTTAGCCCTATCAATGGTACCAAGAGTAAGTGCGTTATTTATCGATATGATTGGTACTAAAAGTCTGTGCGTTACGTAGCAGTATGAGTAGTACCAAGAGTATGTGCGTTACTTAACGATATGAGTTGTACTAAGAGTAAGTGCGTTACTTAGCCATATGAGTGGTACCAAGAGTAAGTGCGTTACTTAGCCATATGAATGGTACTAAGAGTAAGTGCGTTACTTAGCTATATGAGTGGTAATAAGAGTATATGCGTTACTTACCGTAGTACCAAGAGTAAGTGTGTTACTTAACGATATGAGTGTTACTAAGAGTGTGTGCGTCACATAGCCGTATGAGTGGTACCAAGAGAAAGTGCGTTACTTATCGATATGAGTGGTACTAAGAGTGTGCGCGTCACATAGCCGTATGAGTGGTACCAAGAGTAAGTGCGTTACTTAGCGATATGAGTGGTACTAAGAGAAAGTGCGTTACTTGACGATATGTGTTGTACTAGGAGTAAGTGCGTTACTTAGCCATATGAGTGGTACCAAGAGCAAGTGCGTTACTTATTGATGTAAGTATTAGTAAGCATATGTGCGTTAATAGGGATGAGAATATGTTCATGTTCGCCTGGGGTCGAACATGGCTGTTCGGCGAACCGAACAGTGTTCGGTTCGCCGAACACTTTCCTGCAGAAAGGGTGTTCGATGTTCGGGAACATAGGCAAACATTTAGAACTTTGTAGCGAACACGAACACGTTCGCCCAGAACCTGTTCGTGTTCGCCTGAGCGGGGTTGGGACTGCAATACACTAGATGTAACAACTCCCAATGCTACTGCAACCATGTATTTGAGATTATGTTGTTCTAATTATTTGGTTTACTATTTCAGTGCCTACAATAAATAACTAATTGTAGCCATGCCTACACGTTGCAAAAAACATCAAACTCAACTCAGTGCCTACGCGTCGCGCAAGCGATCACTAACCCACAACTACACCCCTGTCCCACCCACGCTACCAACACCACCCTCGCCTCCACCAAAATCTGCGGCATCCACCCCTCTCCCCTCCCCGGCCTCCTCGTCCACCTCGACTGCGTCCGCCTTCTCCACCTCATCCCCCTCATCCCCCTCCTTCTCCTCCTCCTCCTCCTCCTCCTCCTCCTCCTCCTCCTCCTCCTCCTCATCCTCCTCCTCCTCCTCCTCCTCCTCCTCCTCCTCCTCCTCCTCCTCCTCCTCCTCCTCCTCCTCCTCCTCCGCACCCTCGCCCTCAATAGCAATCTCCAGTGCGGCGACCCCCTTCGGGCGGCAGCCCTCGCCGATCCTCTGGCCAGGGTGCGATCCATACCAGGAGCGGAGAATCATGCAGGCACGCGACCTCTCAGAGTTGACGCGGTGACGCTTCCACGAAATGAGGTTGCGGCCCAATGAGAACACCCGCTCGCTCGCAGCAGACGTGGCAGGGATGGCGATATAGTCCCTCGCCATCCGCTTCAGTGTCTCCATGTTCGTGGAAGTGCGCCAGTAGTATAGCGCAGAGACGTCATACCGCAACCGCTCCGACAAGTACCTGCTGACCTCGTCATCCTGCACAAGACCCCCCCCCCGCCGCTTGGCTCGCAGACAGGCGCGCCGCAAGGCGTCGGCGACTAGGGAGGTACAGGTCGTCCTCGTCCTCCCCCCCCTGCTCTCCCTCCTCCTCCTCGACCATCGTGGGAAGTGTGGTGGGTCTAGGACCCAGCTCCCTCGCCGATGCCTGGTACTCGGCCACCCGATCGCGCACCAGCGCGATCACCACGCTCGATGGAGGGCGCGGCCTCTCCCTCTGCGCCGTCTATGGATGCTGCGTCTCCCAGTGGGGGTCGTCGAACCACGCTGCCTTCATGGAAGGATCCAGGAAGGTAGCGGTCCATCCCTCGTTGCTGCTGATGTACTCATACTTCTTCAGGATTTTCAGCGCCTTCTCGACCATCGGCTTCAGCAGCGCAGAGGGCCCCTTTGCCAGTCGGGCCTCCATGATGTCGATGAGGCCATTATAGTACGGCACCACCATCGACAGCGTCGGGTTCGCCGTCCCCTCGGCCGCCTTGGAGACCTTGTTGAAGGGGCTGAGGAACGTTCTCAGCTCCTTAAACATGTCCCACTGGTCGTCAGACAGCTTCAGGCCGGCTGAAACACTTGAACCACGGGTGTCCAGCCTTCTTGCAGTACCAGCACGCACCCTCCATTTGGGTGCTCCCCCTGCCACCAGAGCTCCCATGCCCCTCATTATAGTCACCTCGGCCTCTTCCTCAGAGAAAGCCTCTCCCACGGCCTCGGCCTCTCCCTCCCCCTCTTCCTCTGCTGCCACCTGCAGCTCCGTACCCCTCAGCAGTTTTGTTGGCAGCACAACCTCCCATGTGGCGCCTGCGAAAGTTCTCCTGCAGGATCTGTTGCCGTAGCCACTCAGGCGCCCACTTATCCTGCTGAGCGTTGAGGGTGGGGATGAGGTTGTCCCACGAGTTGTCGAGCACCGAGATGATCTTGGTGCACTGCTGCATCTCCGACACCTTGCTGCCCGCCGCTGCCATTCTCTCAACCTTGAGTATGTTGTAGCCCTTGACCAAGGCTATGTTTTCCAATTTGAATCGTATCAAATGATGGAGTATATCTCGAGTTATCAATTTCGGCGCACTAGGGGGTATGCTGCCACACAAGCTTAACTCAACCACAAGAGTCTCATAAGTTCCACAAATTGTTGAAGTAGCACACAAACCAGATAGGAGGGAAGAGGAGGACGAGAGGGAAGGTTCCAAGGAGTCCCTAACCAAGGAAACCCCATAAGCTCATCAAATTTCCTCCCTATGGCAACCCCACTTTTACTTTTGACAATTTCCAACCCATGCCATCCAACTCACCCCAACTTGGCCACACTTCCCAACCTGGTTTGGCTTCTCCCAACTGTTGGTGTAAGGGCCTAATAAACTCAAGCTATTAAGACTTTATCAAACTTAACACCTCTCCTCGGGGTCACCTCCAAGGGTCCTTGGGTGCCTGGTACAAGACCAGCCCTTATCCTCGGGTCCGAGTTTGTAGAGAGAGGAACCAAGAATGACTTAGCCAAAATAACAAGAGTACCTTGAACGTCGCGCAGCGTATCGTGCAGACCGTCGATCGGATTAAGCTGAGAATTCACTATTACGAAGCCCGCTCCAAGAGCTCTAAAATGAGCCAAGTTGCCTCGCGAAAAGTTCTGCCATTACGAAGTTATGACTCGGACAGCGTTTGCCTAGCGTTGGAGTGCTAGCGTACTAGCGTTGACTTGGGTAGCATTCCGCCGTCGAACCGCGTAGACACGAAATTCCAGCAAGGAAGGAATCCGCTTGAATCAATTGACTATATCCAGGTACAAACAGAGAAGGAATAAATAGTTCTAGCTAGCAAGGACCTTGGGAATCAACCTGGCAGACTTTCTCACCAAGAGGCTTGCGGATGAGCCTCATTGGCGTTGTGTGTGCATGAGTGGAATGAGCATGAACTAGCATGGAATGATGGGAATGCAGCCGGCAGGCTGAGGGGGAGTGTGTTGGGTGCAAATTCACATTGCACGACATCCTGCCGTCTGTTTGTACAAGTATGCGTGTGCGAATGCATTTGCGTGTGAATGGTGTATTCGTGTGTTTGTTTGCTTTCGCAATTTTCGCTTGAAGCATTTGCAGGTACTCGCGCAATGTGCGCTTCGGCACAACATTGTACGCGCTATGAACAGTGCAAGCAGAAAGGACGAGCTCGCAAAGGAACCCAAGATGGAAGCTTTGCAGTTCGGTTTAATTGATTGCGCAGATTCAGTTCTATCCAACTCGAAATTGTACTGTATTGTTTGGTTGACTATAGTGTAGCATGGCAGGCACTATAGGGGTACAATCTAGGTGAAGGTTGGATGTTGTTTGTCTGTATCTGCATGCTACAAGGCCAGGGGAAACCAGCAGAACCAGCATTTGGCTGGTTGGGCAAAGACAAAACAGGTTCTGTTTCTAGAACCTGAACCTGGTTGTTGTTTTCCCAGGTTGGAAAAACAGAACCAGAGGTTGTTTACCAACCTACCACCTGCCATTTTGTCCAGCCAGGGTGGTTCGGCTGCTGGTGAGTCTTGATGTAGATCGGATTCACTGTCCCCCTCTTCACCTCCTTACGCAGCCAGTGCTACTTGATACGCATGTGCTTGTTCAGCCCATGAAGCACAGCGTTCCTGGCCATCCCAAGAGCCCCCTTGCTGTCACAAAACAGCGGCGTAGCAACTTTCTGCTCCTGACCAATCTCCTCTAACAGCCTCCTCAGCCAAATCACCTCCTTCACCCCATGGAACATTGCCATGTACTCTGACTCAACAGAGGAGAGTGCCGTCTCCGTCTGCTTCTTGGACCTCCAACTAACAGGTCCTCCCCCAACTACGCAGATGTATCCTCCCACAGATGAAGAATCTTCCTTCTCAGAAGCCCAAGTAGCATCAGTAAAGCAGGTGAGAAAGAGCTTGCCTTCTCCAAGCCTCTCCCCCTTCTCCTTCAGCACCTCAACCCCTTTCTGCTTCACCTGTGCAGATGCGGAGTATTGGACTCCAATGCTTGGGTGAGAGTTCAAATACTTCACCACACGCCTAGCTGCATCCACCTGCTCCTCAGATGGATTCTGCACCACCCTAGCCAGCTGCCCAACCGAGAAAGAGATGTCGGGCCTCGTGTGAACTGCTGCATACAAGAGGCTGCCCACCAAGGACTGGAATTGCTGCTGCTCCTCGGCTTCAACCCCTTCATCCTCTGTAGCCTTCACAAGCTTAAATTCTGCTGGCAGGGGAGTTGCAACCTTGCGCTCATTCTCAATCCCATACTTCTCCCCCAGCTCCTTGATAAACTTCTCCTGGTGCAGCTTCAACCACGTATGATCCAGATCCCTCTCCACATGCATCCCAAGGTAGTACTTTACCTCCCCAAGGTTCTTGCACTTGAAGTTTTCCATCAGCTGCTGCTGCACTTTCTGGATCTCCTTCATGCTGCTACTGAAGAGAAGAATGTCGTCCACGTAGACCAGAAACAGCACCAGCTTCTCCCCCTCCCCCTTGAGAAAGAGACTCTCATCACAGCTACTGGTCCTGAATCCCATCTCCTCTAAAACAGCTGCCAACTTCTGGTACCAGCAGCGTGGCGCCTGCTTCAAGCCGTAGATTGACTTTTTCAGCTTGCACACCCTGCCCGTACCATCCTCATACCCAGGCGGCTGCGTCATATACACATCCTCCTCTAAAATCCCATTGAGGAATGCCGTTGATATATCCATCTGAATGATGAATTTTCCACTAACGGCTGCATCTGCCAACAAGACACGGAGGGTAGGGGGTTTGGCAGTGGGAGCAAAGATGCCATTGAAGTCCTGCTTCTCCTTCTGCATAAACCCCTTAGCCACCAGCCTACTCTTGTAGATGGTGACTTGCCCCTTGTCATCGGTCTTGATCCTCAGCACCCACTTGCATTGCACTGCTTTCTTCCCCTCCAGCAGCACCACCAGATCCCATGTTCCATTCTCTAGCAGGCTGTAGTACTCTGCATCCCTAGAAGCCAGCCACTTGTCTCTATCTGGTCCAGCTAATGCCTCCTCCATGCTAGCTGGTTCCTCTGGTGCAGGGGCAAGAAAACAGTATGCAGGCTCATCCTCCTCATCCGGGTCATAGCCATGAGGTAAAATCAGCATTGCCTCCTCATTCCCAAGCTGCTGCTCTGCTACGTCAGATCCTGCAGTCAGCTTCATTGTTGCCATGCGGGTGCGCCCTGGCCTAGAGACGGGTGTTTCCCACCCCTTCATAACGACACCCTTCGGCTTCCTCCTTTGCGGTAGCTTAGGCACCTTACCTTTGCTCTGCTGCTGCTCTCCTCTTTCAGATCCAGCAGCTTCACCAGTGCTATCACTAACCTCTCCTCCATCAGCAGGTGCCTCCTGTACCTTCTCTCCATCACCACCCCCCGCAGCTGCCTCCTCTCCCTCCTCCCACACACTAGGAGTCAGGTCCAGCTGCATGGTGATCTGCTCCATCTGCTGGGACACCCTTGCCTCCGGCTGTTTCTCCCAGCTCCCATACATCATGCCCTCAATGAATTTCACATCCCTGCTGTCAAACAACACACCCTTGGATGGTTCCCACAGCAGCCATCCCTTGCTCTCAGCAGCCAGCCCCAAATGCACACACCAGATTGCACTTGCCCCCAACTTACTGCGGTAGGTCTTGGGGACGTGGGCGACTGCCATGCAGCCAAACACCCTCAGCATGTCCACCGGCGGCTTCCTCCCAAGCCACCTCTCCAACGGCACCCACGAGTCATCAAAAACCTTATGAGCACCCTGTTCCTAGCGACGGTAGCGTGCCGAACAGCGTGGGGCCACATGGAGTTGCCAAGCCCAGATTCTATGAGCAGCGCCCTAGCTGTCTCTAGAATAGTCCGGTTCGCCCGTTCTGCTACACCGTTGGACTGTGGGGTGTAAGCCGTGGTCAGCTCCCTCTGGATGCCCTGCTTCTTGAGCCAGGCTGTCATTTCAGCTCCAAGGAACTCACCACCCCGGTCTGTCCTAATCCGCTTCACTACACACTCTGCCTGCTTTTCCACAAATTGCAGGCAATCATCCCGTATCGTGGAGGCGGCGTGGTCCTTCTGCTTCAGCGGATACGCCCACATAAGTCTGCTCCAGTCATCCACAATCGTAAGAAAGTACCGCTCCCCCTTGTGCCCTTGCACCAGCAGCGGCCCCACCAAGTCCATGTGGACCAGCTCCAAAGGCTTCTTGCTCCTGCCAGCGACACTATGGAAGGGGAAACGGGTAAACTTTGAGAGCAAACAAATTTCACAGTTCTCATCAGGTGGCTGTCCGTTCAGCTTCAGACCCTTAACGGCTCCATCCTTCTCCAGCCGCTTCAACACAGGCATTGCCACATGCCCCAAACGTCGGTGTGCCGTTGCCCAACCCGTTCCCCAGATCTGGCCGACACTTTCACACCAACGCCTCCAACGGCGTTGCACTCCCCCTGGGATGCAGACCCCTCTCTAGCCTGCCCCCCACCGTGCCACGCCAACGCCGGCAGCTGCCACATGGATCTGTACACGTCCTTACTCTCATGCAGATCCCAAAGCACCCGATTGCCCAGCTGCCCCTTGTAAGTGCGAGCCCCATCCGTGTTGGTGTTCACCCCAATCTTGCCAAGCTTACGGAGCGAGATAAGGTTGGCCTTTAGTTCGGGGACGAGGAGAACGTCGTGCAGCACCACCGGCTTGCCATCCGCTCCCTTAAACGTGTTATAGTCACAGTAGGCTTCAATGTGCCTAAAACGAAAGATAGAGTGCGCAGTCAGATTTCTGCACAGCGGCTTTAAACGTTCATAGCGATCTGGTCAGACCTCCAAATGACCTCATTCAACTTGGATCTGGAGCGTCTTGACGTCCTCTACAATAGGCAATTTAGATCGCACGATTTCATTAAGAATTGACGACACAGCGTCAGATTGAACGAACGGCACTATGGCAGCAACATAGTCTTAGGAGACACAATTACGAACAACTAGGAAGAGTTGCGAGTTGGGAAGGACTCCCAGCTCCTACAAACCCCAAGAGCCGAGGTACAGTGATGGGGAACAGTGCCACACTGTCCCCAACCAAGAAGGGTCTCGAAACTACCCTTCACAAGGGCCTACACCAACTGAAATGTTACACTACACTTTGTAATGTAACTATCTTCAATATCTTGAGGTGTAGCCTTTTGGTGAGCTTCGAAAACACTTGAAGCTTGAACCAAGGCTCGGGTTCTTCATCACAAAACTCATCCTTGAGTTCTTGATGGGTCTGCTGCACACACCTGCGACACGCCGAACGTTCGACACAGGACAAAATAGAAACCGCGCGCGGAACAGACGACAAAATAGAAACCGCGCGCGAGACACAAACGACTGCATTAACACGCGGCTAGCGATAACTCGCTATTGACTCGACACACACACTCAACATCATGACCCATCATTCACACACCATTATAAGCATGAAATATATATTTATTTCATGCACTCATACCACTCCATGCACACACACACACGCACACACACACGCACACGGACAACAAGCCGAGTGCAAACCGTAGGGTTGCACCAACAAAACGCAGCTCGTCCCGCACCAGCCACCTTCAACATGTGTCCAGAGGCGGAGCACACCTCATTGGTGGAGCGCGTACGTTGTCCAACAGGTCCTTGCGCGGCGTCATCGTCCAAGCAGCACCCGTGTCCAACACCCAAAAGTCCAAGGGGTGCAGCTCTGCTCCAACCTTGGCAGAGGCGTCTCCTTGCTCCCCCTTGTCTCCCACATGGAAGAATTGGCCCGCGGAGCGCTCCTTCTTCTTCTCCGCACCGCCGTTGCCCTTCGGGTTGTTGTCGGACGAATCAGCGACCATGTTCGCGCCATTTTTCTGGTTCCTCCGCGCGCCGCCATCCTGGTGACGATTCTGGGGGGTCCATCCATCGGGTTTCTTATAGCACAAAAACCAGGGGTGCCCCTCCTTCTCACAATACCAGCAACTCCCTTTTATTTTGCCACCAGCACCCGACTTGCCCCCACGTCCAGATTTCGCACCGTGACCCCAACCGGTACCTCCTTGTTGGTCGTTAGAGTCGTCGTCCCTCTTTGCACCGCGTCCAGGGTCCTCTGCCACGTCGGCTCCCTTGCATCCCGTAGCCGCTGCTGCCGTCGTCCCCACCCCTCAGTTGGCGGCGACGGAAGTCCTCCTCTAGAATCTTCGTCCGCACCCACTCGAGCGTCCACAAGCTCTGGTTCTGCGGCAGGCTCAATCCGCTCGTGAATTGAAGCCACGATTCCGGCAGCAGCGACAGCATCTTCAGGCACTTGGTCTGCTCCGGGTAGGTGATTCCCGATCGCCAGCTTCGCATAGAGATCACGCATCTTGTTCAGGGTGGGTTGCACCGGCTCTCCCTCGCTCAGGCGCAACGCGGACAGCTCCCTCTCCATCATGAGCGTAGCGGCGACGGAGGTCGGGGCGTGCAGCTCCTTCAACACGGTCCACGCCTTCGGACCGCACTCAACCTCCGGCAGCAGATGCATGACGTGGTGACGCTGGTTCAGCTCCAAACTCTGCGACATCAAGTAGTAGCCAGCCGAGGCGCGCTCGTCCCAATCTTCCTGAAGGGCGGGGTCACTCGGTCTAGGCTCCTCCCCAATCATTAGTTTCAGCAAACCGATCTGACGGAAATAAAGTTGCATTTTCCAGGCCCACTTATCATAGCCCTCACCATTGAACTTCTCGACGGTGAAGTTTTTCAGCACCTCCTTGATCAGCGAGCCCTGGCTTGTTCGCGCTCCCCTTGGCGCAGAAACACCAGAATCTTGGCTGCCGCTATGATCTTGGGCTGAAGATTCACCAGCTACCGCCGAGGTGTTGCCCGCCATAGCTACCTATAACGAGGATCACTATAACGCAGCTCTGATACCAGCTTGTTGGTGTAAGGGCCTAATAAATTTATGCTATTAAGACTTTATCAAACTTAACACCTCTCCTCGGTGTTACCTCTAAGGGTCCTTGGGTGCCTGGTACAAGACCAGCCCCTATCCTCGGGTCCGAGTTTGTAGAGAGAGGAACCAAGAATGACTTAGCCAAAATAACAAGAGTACGTTGAATGTCGCGCAGCGTATCATGTAGACCGTCGATCGGATTAAGCTGAGAATTCACTATTACGAAGCTCGCTCCAAGAGCTCTAAAATGAGCCAAGTTGCCTCGCGAAAAGTTCTGCCATTACGAAGTTATGACTCGGACAGCGTTTGCCTAGCGTTGGAGTGCTAGCGTACTAGCGTTGACTTGGGTAGCATTCCGCCGTCGAACCGCGTAGACACGAAATTCCAGCAAGGAAGGAATCCGCTTGAATCAATTGACTATATCCAGGTACAAACAGAGAAGGAATAAATAGTTCTAGCTAGCAAGGACCTTGGGAATCAACCTAGGAACAACCAGGGATGATCCCAAATAATTCCAAGCAACAGATTCACCCTGGCTGGACAAAATGGCAGGTGGTAGGTTGGTAAACAACCTCTGGTTCTGTTTTTCCAACCTGGGAAAACAACAACCAGGTTCAGGTTCTAAAAACAGAACATGTTTTGTCTTTGCCCAACCAGCCAAATGCTGGTTCTGCTGGTTTCCCCTGGCCTTGTAGCATGCTGATACAGACAAACAACATCCAACCTTCACCTAAATTGTACCCCTATAGTGCCTGCCCTGCTACACTATAGTTAACCAGACAAAACAGTACAATTTCGAGTTGGATAGAACTGAAGCTGCACAATCAATTCAACCGAACTGCAAAGCTTCCATCTTGGGTTCCTTTGCGAGCTCGTCCTTTCTGCTTGCACTGTTCATAGCGCGTACAATGTTGTGCCGAAGCGCACATTGCGCGAACACTTGCAAATGGTTCAAGTGGAAATCGTGAAAGCAAACAAACACACGAACACACCATTTACACGCAAATGCATTCGCACACGCATACTCATACAAACAGACGGCAGGATGTCGTGCAATGTGAATTTGCACCCAACACCAACCACATGGCAGCATCTACAGTAGGAGTTACGAATTTCCCAACCCCCAAAAGTCTGTACCCCATATAGAGCCACTTCCACAACTTGCCATAGCCACCACAACCAAACATGAAAATCATTCGAGCTTCGAACGTTCGTAACTTTCTCGTTCGTGCTCCGATTGAAGCGATCCTTGGCTCGTCGGAAAGCTCTCGAGCAGAGAAGTCACTTCAGATATCTGCTGAAGCCGAATGACATTCACACACACTCAGAAAATCCAAACCACACAAAACACAATTTCTTGCACACGACCACGCATGCAACGCACGGACATATGATAGGAGGCAGACAGACGTGAATGTAAATGATAGCATCACTTAACAAATAGTCTCATTGAGAATGGGACTTGGGAGCTTGTTGAGCAGTTAGCGGGTCTTCAAAGTGAAGACGAATGCTGATGGAGCACTGGAGCGGTTCAAGAGCCGCTTAGTTGCCAAGGGTTTCAGCAGAAAGAAAAGATCGATTTTAAGGCGATCTTTGCTCCTATGGCTAAGCCAGTTACGTTGAGGACTTTGCTGGCTGGCGCAGCTGTGAAGAGATGGCATGTGAAGCAGTTGGATATTACCATTGCATTCCTCAATGGAATACAATTGGAGGATATCCACATGAAGTAGCCTGATCGCTATGATGATGATACCGGCCGGGTGTGCAAGCTTAAGAAGGCTATATATAGCCTTATGCAAGCACCTAGGTGCTGGTACGAGAAGCTCGAGAAAGTGCTGCTAGCTGGAGGCTTCAAAACATCCCAAGCTGACCACAGCTTGTTCCTGCTCGGAGAGGGGGAGCAGCTCTTGCTGCTGGTATATGTCGATAACATAATGCTTTTCTCACCTTCCCTGAAGCAGATTGAAAGGGCACAGAAGCTCCTGATGGACAACTTCAAGCTCAAGATGCTTGGGGATGTCCATTATTACTTGGGGCTGCAGATTGAGCGAGATGTCGAGAGGAAGTGGCTGAAAATGCATCAGTCACACTACATCTTTGGTGTAATGGAGTGTTATGGTGTGACTGGGGGTCGCACTGTGATGACGCCATTTCCTGCAGGCTACAAGCTACAGAAGGCAGCTGAAGATGATGATGTGTTCGAGGATGAGCTACAGAAAAAGCATCAGTCACTCATTGGGGGTGTTATGTATGCAGCTATGCATATGCGTCCTGATGCTTCATTCGGAGTGGGGGCAGCTGGCCTGAGCTGTGCAGCAGCCCACAGAGGAGCATTTGGAGTTGGCAAAGCGGAAGGTGCGCTACCTCGGATCTACAACATCTGCTGGTGTTCAGTTCAACTGGAGGCCAACTGAAGCGACCTGGAGCAGATGGGATCGTGCCTGGAACATTGAAGCTGTTGTGCTTCACCGACGCTATATGGGCCTTGGAGGATGAGGATCAGTCATCTGTGGGTGGCTATGTGTGCATGGTCGGAGGAGGACCAGTGAGTTGGAGGTCCAAGAAGCAGAGTGAGATTGCTCAGTCTTCGGCAGAGGCAGAGTGTGTGGC